TCTCTCTCTCTCTCTCTCTCTCTCTCTCTCTCTCTCTCTCTCGCCCTCGCTATTTCTGTCTCTCGCTCTTTCTCATTCTTTCTCTTTTTTCTCTCTCTCCCTTTCTCTCCTCCACCCTTTCTCTTTCTCCCTCCCTCCTCAGTCTTCAGAAGTTATTTCAGTCCTTTCATGTCCTTTTGTTGATGAGGACCAATTTATTCGCGTGTTAAGATGGTGTTATTTGAATTTATGTAAGGAGAACAGTGGCTCTGCAATGATACCCGCATCTTGAAAATGATACATACGTAGAGAAGCAAGAAGAGACATGTGCAGTGTCGAGGTGGCAGCTGGCACGAGGGGTGGGGGGACGGGTGGGTGACAGAGGGGGGGGGGAGCTTGATATAGGGGGGGGTAAGGGTTCTAAGGCCGCTGAATAGAGACACCCGGACTTCTTATTAATGACGCCACCTCTTCTCTCTCTCTCTCTCTCTCTCTCTCTCTCTCTCTCTCTCTCTCTCTCTTCTCTCTCTCTCTCTCTCTCTCTCTCTCTCTCTCTCTCTCTCTCATTCTCTCTTTCTCTTGGAAACCTCAGATGTGTCACTCTGATTATCATCAATACACACCTACATGAAAAGATGAATATTTAGATAATCATCCTTAATGGCCATTGTCATCATCGTCGTTATCATTATCATTCGTAATTATTACGAATTTTGTTGTTGTTGTTGGCACTGTTTTCAGTTCTATCACATTCATAGTTAATCAATAGCTACTATCATTGCATCATCATCATCATTATAATCTTCACAATTCTCATCCTCATTAACATTCAATTTAGACTGAATTGATAACCATAATAACCGCTATTTATAGTGTTAATGATTATAGTACGAATATATAACATTAAAGTTATTATTACTATCCTTATACTACGAATATATATCATAATCATCTTAACTATCGTTATACTACGAATTATAATACGAATATGATATAATAGTTGACATTTCTATCCTTATACTACGAATTACACTACGAATATATATCATCATAATTATCATTACTATCGCCACGTATTATACTACGAGTATATATCATTATGATTATCATTACTATCCTTATACTTCGAATATATATTATCATCATTATCATTACTATCCTTATACTACGAATATATATCATAATAATTATCATTACTATCGCTACGAATTATACTACGACTATATACCATCATCATCATCATTACTATCCTTATACAACGAATATATATCATCATCATTAGCATTACTATCCTTATACTACGAATATATATCATTACTATCCTTATACTACGAATATATATCATTACTATCCTTATACTACGAATATATATCCTATCCTTATACTACGAATATATATCATTACTACCCTTATACTACGAATATATATCATCATCATTATCATTTCTATCCCTATACTACGAATATATATCATCATCATCATTACTACCCTTATACTACGAATAAAAATCATCATCATTACCATTACTACCCTTATACTACGATATTATATCATCCTTATCATTTACCCTATACTACGAATATAATCATCATCTTATCTACCTTATACTACGAATATATATAATCATCATCATTACCATCCTTTATACTACATCATCCTTATCATTACCATATACTATATATATCATCACCTTATCATTACATCCTTATACTACGAAATATAAATATCATCATCCATCATTACCATCCTTATACTACGAATAAATATCATCATCCTTATCATTACCATCCTAACTACGAATAAATATCAAATTACCATCCTTACGGAGCACGCCCTGATACTCGTCACTCAGGGCGCAAGAAGACCTGTAGAGCCACGAGAAACCTTGTAGCAGGAGGAGGCAGTTGAGGGGAGGCAGTTCGAGTAACTTAAACTACCTCCACGTGGCCGAATCTGACAAGAAAGGAGGGTGGGAGGGGAGAGGGGAGTGGGGGTGGGGTGGGAGGGGGGTTGAGAAAAGGGGGGAGAGGGTGGTGGGGGTGGGGGTGAGGAGGGGGTTAGGAAAGGGGATGGGGGTGGGGAGGGGGTTGAGAAAAGGGGAGAGGGTGGTGGGTGTGGGGGTGGGGGTGAGAGAGGGGGTTAGGAAAGGGGATGGGGTGGGGAGGAAAGGGGGTTGAGAAAGGGGAGAGGGGGAGAGGGAGGGGAATGAGGGGAGTGAGAAGGGGGAGAGGGGGAAGGGAATAAATGGGGTGGGAGGGGGTTGGAAAAGGGGAGAGGGGGAGGGAGGGAATGAAAGGAAGGGAGAGGAAATGAGTGAGGGTGGAAGGGGAAAAGAGGAGAGAGGGGATGTAATAGAGTTAATAGGGAGAAGGGAGAGGAGGTAGGGGAAGGAAGAGGGAGAGGTAAGTGGAAAGGAAGGGGACGAAGAGGATAAGGGGAAGGGAAAGGGGGGAGGAGGAGGGTCAATAGGAATTCTAAGCCATACCCGTCTTCTCTCTCTCTCTCTCTCTCTCTCTCTCTATCTATCTATCTATCTATCTATCTATCTATCTATCTATCTATCTCTATCTCTATCTCTATCTCTATCTCTATCTCTCTCTATCTCTATCTCTATCTCTATCTCTATCTCTATCTCTATCTCTATCTCTATCTCTATCTCTTATCTCTCTATCATCTCTATCTCTATCTCTATCTATCTCTATCTCTATCTCTATCTCTCTCTCTCTCTTCTCTCTCTCTCTCTCTCTCTCTCTCTCTCTCTCTTTTCTCTTTCTCTTTTCTCTTTCTCTCTCTCTCTCTCTCTCTCTCTCTCTCTCTCTCTCTCTCTCTCTCTCTCTCTCTCTCTCTCTCCATCTACCTTACTATTCTTTCTCCTCCCTAGGGCCTGAACAATAACGTTCTCGCTTCAGCACATATACGTATTACACTGTATGAAAAGGAGGAGGAGGGAGACAGAGAGAGGGGGATCGCAAGTAGCCTCCCCCCCCTCACCCCCCACACAGCTCATGTCTGAACTTGGGGTGGTCAGGAGGGGGGGTAAGGGGATGAAGGAGGGAGAGGAGGGGGTTGAGAGGGGGTGAGAGGGGGTAAGAGGGGTCACAAGTAGCTAAGACCGGCCCCCGTACAGACCAGTTGCCAGTGAGGGCTGTTGTGCGCTGTGGTCCACGATGTGATGGTGTAAGGCCGAGTGATGGTGATGTTGATGTGATTGTGACAGTGATTGTGACAGTGATCGCGTACGGTGATAAAGGCTCTGTAGTGATATTTTTTTTGTTTATTGTGTGTTTTTTATTAACATTTTTTTATCGGTGGTGTGTCAGTTTTTTGTTATTTTTTTATTTATTATGATTAGTTTTTTTTTTTTTTTTTTTTTTTTACATCGGAGCGCGTGGACAGATAAATGTTTTAATTACGAAAGCGTGGTTGTGATCAATGAAATTATTTGAGGAATAACTGTAGAAACGTGAGGTATTCAAAGCATTTTATGGCTTACAGTGTTTCGTACTATGTGCCGGTGTGTGACATATTTGCGCAATGTGAATATATTTGCATGGAAGAGAGAACATTTTTCAATATTTCGAAAGTTAAAGGGGTGTATTTTTTTAAGCCGAGTATTCAGTGTCTGATGCAAGTTTATGCATTTGCAATATGGAGACCAAATTCTTCGTGATTGAGTGGGCATTGCTGGTTGGAAAATTAAGTAATTTCCAGTAAATGTATGCATGACCTTGGGTGAGAAAGGTTGGCATGTGTTTGTTTGCGCATACATTGATCAGTCAGATGAACGGTTAATATCGCGCACAAATACACACACATACACACAAACATAAGTGTATATGTATATATATATATATATATATATATATATATATATATATATATATGTATATATACACATGTGTGTGTGTGTTGTCTTATACATACATATACATACCTATATGTGTGTGTGTGTGTGTGTATATATATATATATATATATATATATATATATATATATATATAATATATAATATATATATATGTGTGTGGTGTGTGTGTGTGTGTGTGTTGTGTGTGTATGTGTGCGTATGTGTTGATGTGATTGTTGATATTATATATATTATATATAATTTATATATATATGTATATATATATATATGTCTGTCTGTATGTATGTGTATATAAATACACACACACACGCACAAGTACCACACACACACACACACACACACACACACACACACACACACACAACACACACACACACACACACACACACATATATATATATAGATAGATAGATAGATAGATAGATAGATAGAGAGATAGATAGATATAGATAGATAATATCGATATGTATTCATGTTTATATAGATAGATAGGTAAATAGATAAAACAGATGGATACGTAAGGAGTTACAGACAGTACATACAGAGAAGGAGAGGAACGAGCTGTCAGTCCGTGATCTCACCGAAGGCAGTGAGGCCGCTTCGATGCCCCTCCCATAGAGCTCGCACCCCCCCCCCCCCCCCCCCCCCAGCGCGCCCCCGACTGCATCGCCTGATTGGTCGGCTAAAGAGACATGCAAACTAAGCAAGGCCGACGAAGATCCTTTGCGGAACATGACACTCACTGCATCAGTCACAGGATGAGATCATCACGTTTTATTTCTGTCACGTCATCAGTTGACATTCGTGTCATCGCTGTTTTTATCTTAATGTTGACCGTAAGCGTTGAGGTACTTTATAGCGCCCTTATCCTATTATGTTTTATTTATTCATGTCGTGCTCTGTCTCTGTGCTTCCTGTTCATATCAAATCATATCTTAATAGGAAGAGATGCAGTAAATTTGCTGATACGATCTAAACACTATACATCACCTAACCAATGCCCCATATATCACAGCTTTCTCAAACAGCCGCAGCTTCATCACACACTCCTGCTCGCCCTGTGGGATGCGGCTGCCATCCTGTATTCTCGCCAGGGCGCCCGACGTGCTTACCACACGGTATGTCCGGCGCCCGGAATGGTAACTGTCCGCGTCTTGTGCGCACTTGCCGGAACGAGCCCGTCTCTGCTGCGCCGTCGTCGGCAGTGTCTCTAATGGTGTGGCGGCGTCGGCGCGTCCCTCCCCTAATGGCTGTCGCTCTCCCGCCGCGAGGAGTATTACGACGCTGTCTTTGGGCTGTTCATTATCGCGATTCGTTTGAAGAGCCTTCCTGAAAGCAGCCTCAGTGTGACAGGCAGTCTTGCATGTCTCAAGCGAGGATCTAGGATAACAGCATGATTACAGCACTCAAACACGGGGACTCCGACCAGATCATCACAAAGGACCAAACGAATGTAACTTAGCATGTGTGTGTGTGTGTAGATTATGTATTGGCATATCATAGCTCCTCCGAAACAGAATGTGATGAATGCAACCAGCAGAGGATGAGGATGATCCATGGACTGTAGAAATACGGAAGTAAAAGGCTTATAAGGAGCGGGAGGTTAAACAGCGTGTCTTTTAACGATCGTAGCACCATTTGTGAATGAATACAAGTGTAGGAGGGTGACTTGCGTAGTCAGAATGATAATTCTCTTTAGATAAACGTGAATATTAAATGACGTTGGTGATCATTTTATGTAAGAAATGAGTAATATACTCAGATTTTATATTTATAAGGTATAGCTATAGGGTCACTACACATGCATAGACGCAGATGTTTGTATGTACAAATAAGGGCTGGTCAGTAAGATATGCATCAGCCACAATACACACAGATACAGCAGAGGGTGACAATGAATCGAAGAGATATCCCCTCCACCCCGCTTCCCCTCCCTCCCTCCCTCCCTTACTCCTCCCCTTGCCATTACCCCTCTCCGCCCTCCCTGTGTCTCTACCCCCCCTGCTTGCTCATCCTTGGGAATCGGCCGAATAGACTAGGAGAATATAGACGACCTGGCCTGTTCCATTACCAGGGCCGTCCTCATTGTCAGGGAGTTTTCAGTTCCGAGTGTTAAGGTTAGTCGCTAGGTAGGTTAAATGTCATATCGAGACGGTTATTTTATTAAATTATAATGATAAGGAGAAACGACTTTTGGATAACGTTTTTTTATTATCATTATTATTAACTCATTTGTTAGTTATTACATATTTTTTTAAAGGTTTGCAGACTTTTAAATGTCACACTGAATGTTTAATGACACAAAGAACGATATAAAAGTATCCATCAGATTAACACAATATATATTTTTAGAGATGGTGTAACATGAACATCTGTTAGATATGATGTAGGTTACATGCATTGTAGGTCAGGGAGAAACTTGTACATACATGCCACGCTAGTACAGTTAGAATTAGATTGTTATTCACACTGGCACATGACATTTCTCCTTCTTGAGAATATCTCTTGACGTTGACAATTCGCTTTTTCATTTAGTCCTGTTAATTGGAATTATGACACGGCGGGTAAATATGACGATTCGGGGATCTTTTTAAAAATCATAACGGTTTCGTGTCACTTTCAGGCCCGCCATTTTTTGGTTGTTATTGAAAAGCGGTCTAGAAGTCGAAGGTAAAGAAGTGTATTGAAATATTGATATTCCAAGGATTGGGAAGAATTCGTGAGACTTAATTTTCTTTTTTTCGAGTGTCCACATCTGACAGTTTAATAGAAAGAAAGAAAATTGTAAAGTCAAGACAACTAGAAAGAAAAAGAAAACGAAATAAAGTAATAGAGAAAACGGAAACGTGATAAAACCACAGAATAATAAAAAGTGAATGAAACAAAGAAAACGAAAAAAATAACAGAAAAAGAAATTACACCATAGAGAAAAAACAAAGACAGAAGCAAACGAAATAAAAACAGATAAAGAAGAAGAAAAAAGCCCCCAAACCATCAAAGAAAGGAAATTAAGCCACAGATAAAAAAAACAACAAAAACAAAACGGCAAACGAAATAAAGACACAAATAAAGAAAAAAAAAGCACCCTCCCCCCCCCCAAAAAAAAAAAAACGCCAAAAACCCAGAAAATAATTTTAAAAACCACTTATTCAGACGAGGACCGCGTAGCCCAGAGCCTTCGACAACATCTATAAACATGGTATCACTCAGGTCCTGCGAGCCGAACCCCCAGGTAAGTGCCGACGGCGTCTACTCTGAACCTTTTTAAAATTCCTTTCGTGACTCTAAATGAAACTGAATCATGTATTAGGTGTAGTTATCGGGTTAAAAAAGAATATGTGATGACAAACAGGTCTTGTGGTTTAGCGATGTTGTGTTATATTTATAGGATTGATTAATATTGAATTAGGTTATGTAGAAGGTAGTACATGGGTTTTGTGTGGGAATGAGAGAGAAGGGAGAGAGAGGATTGAGAGAGAATGAGAGAGAGAGAGGAAGAGAGAGAGAGAGAGAGGGGAGAGAGAGAGAGATAGGAGGAGAGGAGAGAGAGAGAGAGAGAGAGAGAGAGATAGAAGGAGAGAGAGAGGGGGGTAAAGATAAAGATAGATAGAAGGAGAGAGAGAGAGGAGGAGAAGAGACAGAGTTAAATAACGTTTAACCTGAAGCAAAAGTGCCTCAGATACCCAGCGAAATCATAAAGCGGCACTGTCGGAGCGCGGGCGGCCCAAGCACCTCGGCGTCCGCTGGGACATTCCGAGGGCGTGCGGGCGAACCAAGGCCATTCATACATCTAATTTACTGCGGGCGTTGTGAGAAAAAGGGACACAAGGAAAGCACACATACGCCGGGACAACGGGTGTTCTCAGAGCCCCAAGCTGTCGCCCCGAATCTTACGGCGGCGAAGGAACCCGTAATGGAGAGGGACGGATGGCTCCTCCTGCTCCTCGAAGGACAAGGAGGCCGCTCGGAGACGTTATGGGACATGAAGAGCTGCTCAGACGTAGGATATGGGGCCTCATGTTTGGGTCTCTGGTCTTCTCCATCTCCTCTTCTTCTGTCTCTCTCTTCTCTCTCTCATCTCTCTCTCTCTCTTCTCTCTCTCTCTCTCTCTCTCTCTCTTCTCTTCTCTCTCTCTCTCTCTCTCTCTCTCTCTCTCTCTCTCTCTCTCTCTCTCTCTCTTCCTCTCTCTCTCTTCTCCCACTCGCTTTACGTGCGGATCACCTTGTGTCGCGCGAGGAAACCTCAGAGCGGATGAAGGAGAAGCCAGGGTACCCTTGTGAGGTACCGCCCGGCCATGGTACGTAACGCGAGTATGCTACCCTTTTCGCCCTTCCGCACACGCAGAAGCCGCGGACACCTGCAACTCTCTCTCCTCTTTCGGAAACACACCCGCCACAACCCTCTGCTCCATGCGTTCCTCTACTCCGCTCTCGGTCTCGTGAAGGAATTGGAGGATGTTTGCGACCCTGCAAGAGTGTGTTCCTTACTTTAGAACTCGGGTATTGATCCCGTTTGTACCGCGATGGGGTAATACAGTGCTATAAATGAGATAATGGGTAATGGCAGTTCTCGATGGCTGTTTTCTCGATGCTGATTGCTGTGATTACGTGATATGTGTACATTCTCAGATATGCATGTTGGGAGCACGTACGCGTGTACGCGCGCACACACACGCACACGCACACGCACATGCACACGCACACGCACACGCAGCTCACGCTCACACACCACACACACACACACACACCACACACACGCACACACACGCACACGCACACGCACACACACACACGCACACACACACAACACACACAAGCCGCCACTCCACCCGACCGCCCAAGAAAAAAAAGATGAAAGTCCTATATCAAGATAAGGAGACGACGTCGGAAAGGTTAAACTGCAGCCAGTTGGTAATTAGCGTTCACAACAGCCTCTTGAGAACGACCATCAAGAGGTTATGGCGTCCCTTTCCCTTCGTTCCCGCCGCAGGGAGGTCGGATGCCTAAGGTGGGGGGGCGGGGGGGAGGGAGGTCCCGCGGATGTCCGGGAGGGGCAGGGGGCTCGAGGGTGTCTCAGGGGGTCTAGGGGAGAATCTAGGGGGAATCGCGAGGGATCTAGGGGAAACGGTAAGGACATTAGGAATTTATGGTGGATCTAAGGCCATGATCAAAGGAGATCGTGACGCCTGGAAGAGTCTTTGAAAAATCCTAATGTAAGTCTGGAGAAATCTCTAGAATCTGGGGGATATGTACGGCCCCCTTTTTTGCGGAATTTAGGGGGATCAGTCATTCTTTTTGAATTTTTGATTACTTTTTTTTTTGGGGGGGGGGATCTAGGGAGATTGTGTTCGTGTGTTTTGACAGGATGGGGACGTTTCCAAGGGATCTAGGGAAATAAAATAAAACATTAGAGGGAACCAGACGACCATTAAGGGGAAAAATAATTTGACGAAAACTCGGGAAAACTGATTAAATTTTTCCCCAAGCAACGGTGCGAATTCCGAGGAGATATAGGGGAAGATTCGAGAAATTGAAGGGCGTCTTGTGGAAATTTTGACCTCGCCTTCAAGCATGAAAGCATGTCCGTGCGGCTCCGTCAAGAATTTTTGCGAAACTCCGGCATTCTCATCGTGCCTTCGGCGCCCCCGCGAGTTCAAATACTTTGCCAAGGATCGTGAAAATACCCGCGGGCCAAAAACAGGATCTATACCTATATACACGCACGCACACATACACAACACATATACGCACAGTGTGTGTGTGTGTGTGGTGTGTGTGTGTGTGTGTGCGTGTGTGTGTGTGTGTGTGTGTGCGTGTGTGTGTGTGTGTGTGTGTGTGTGTGTGTGTGTGTGTGTGTGTGTGTGTGTGTGTGACAGGTTGAATAATGCACTGAGGGAAAATTATTTATATGTGTGTGTTTTGAATAAAGGCAAAGCATGAAATTTTGAACTATTCATATGTATTATTTAATCCATTTTTTGCCATTCAATAGCAAACACATCACACAAAAAACACACCACACAAAAAAAAAATCGACATGCATACAAACACAATCACACAACAACACAACACACAGCACCACACACACACATACACACACACACACACACACACACACACACACGCACGCACACACACGCACGCACGCACGCACACACACACACACACACACACACACACACAACACACACACACACACCACACACACACACACACACACATACACACATCACGGACCGTCCCCACACACCAGCAGTTGCTCCTCCTCTCATGACCGACAAATAAACATAAAATACGAAACTTTGTCGGACGCGTGTGTGTGTGTGTCGGGGGGGGGGGGGGGTCCTGGAGAGGGAGATGCTGGACGGGTGAGAAACCTTCCTTGCTGTTGCAAAAGTCAGCTCTCTACATGTAGTTATTTCATTGCTTCTGCCTCATTCTTTCTCTTTCTCTTTCTTTCTTTCTTTCTTTTTTTCTCTTTCTCTCTTTCTTTCTCTTGTCTCTATTCCTTCTCTCGTCTTGTCTCTCTCTCTCTCGTTCTCTTCTCTCGCTCTCTTCTCTCTCTCTCTCTCTCTCTCTCTCTCTCTCTCTCTCTCTCTCTCTCTCTTCTCCTCTCTCCCTCTCTCCCTCTCTCCCGCCTCTCACTCCCTCCTCCCTCTCCCTCTCCCTCTCTCCTCTCCCTCGCCTCCCTCCCTTCCGCTCACTCCCTCCCCTCGCCTCCCTCCCTCCCTCTCTTCCCTCGCCCCTCTCCTTCTCCCCTCTCCTTCCCCCTCCCCCCTCCCTCCCTGCTACCCTCTCCTCTCCCTCTTTCTCTTTCGCCTCTCCCTCGCTTCTTTCTTATTCTATGTATTATTTTGCCTTCTCTATAATTTACAACAACAGCAATAACCTACACGAGTTTATTAATTACATAAAAGCCGAGAGCAACCTGGAAATCTCGCGAGACTAATTCAACACTAAGAGAGATTAACTGGATTCGTTGGAAGAAGAAAAATATTTCATTATACGATATTTTAGAAAAAATATTTGTATACGAATATTTAGAGGACAGAAAAAAAGCTGTAGTAGCGAGAGAAGAGGAGAGAGAGAGAGAGAGAGAGAGAGAGAGGAGGAGAGACAAGGAGAGGAGAAGAGAGAGAGAGAGAGAGGAGAAAGATATACAGAGAGGAGAGAGAGAGAGAGAGAAGAGAGAAGACAGAGAGAGAGAAGAGATAGAAAGAAGAGAGGAGCGAAATGAGATCAACTTAACCCTTGTACATATATGCAATCTCCATGCATGTTGAAACGAGTTAAGAAACAAAAAAAAAAAATGAGCAAGCAAGTACATTAAACCCGACCCAAGCAAGCACAGGCAAGCTCACTGTCCTCCGCTCTCTATATGCCTCTCTAATCCCCATTTTTATTTATTTTTTCTTTTCTTTTTTTTCTCTCTCCGGAGGTAAACGCTGTATTTGGGTGCCTTAATTTAACAAGCGGCGATTACGGCGTTTATTCGAGGCTGCACTGGCATGGCTAATCTACCCCCCCCCGCCCGCATCTCTGCCTCTCTTCTCCCTCCCTCTCCTCCAACTGGGCCTATTTTTGGAAACCTTTTCCTTTGACACCTTCTCATTCCTCGTTTCTTTCTTTTCTCTCTCTCTTCATTTTTTTTTCTCCTTACTCTCCTCTCTTTCCCCCCTTCCTTCCCTTTTTCTTACATTATTTCATTCTCCGGTTCTATTTGGTTCTTCTTCCTCTCCTCTTCTCCTCTCCCCTTCTTTTTTTTCTCCTTAACCCTCTTTCCTTTCTTCATCTTTTTTAAAACTATTTCGCCTTCCCATTTGATTCTTTTCCCATCCTCATTCCTTTCCTTCCTCTCTTCCCTGGCCCTATTTCTCCTTCTCTCATACTTTCTCCGTCTCGTTCCTATCAACCCCTCTTTTCCTTTTTCTATTCCCTGTTTCCGGATTTCCCTTTAAATACTCTCGTCCTTCTCCCCGTAGCCGTCACCCCCACGAATCTTTCTCCGCTTTCATTCGTCCTCCACAACTTTTTCTCTCCTCGCCTTTATTCACGTCGTCTCCCACGGTGATTCCGTCTCCTCCACTCCTCTTATATTCTTTTTTCTCTCTCTTTTTTTTTTCCTTTTCCTAAATCTCTTCTCTTATATCTTTCTCCCCAAATTCATCCTGTTCGTTCGCCTTTTTTTTTTTCCCTTTCCTCTTTTCTTTTTTATCCATTCTTTCACCTACTC